CCTTTTTGTTTCCATTTTCTCTAAAACCTCGTCGTTGCTCATATGTTCGGTCCATGGTATCCTCAGCATCCTTCTGTAGAAATTTCAACTGTATCTTCCTGGTGTTAAGTATAAGTTTCCTTTTTGTTTCCATTTTCTCTAAAACCTCGTCGTTGCTCACATGTTCGGTCCATGGTATCCTCAGCATCCTTCTGTAGAAATTTCAACTGCCTCTTCCTGATGTTAAGTATAAGTTTCCTTTTTGTTTCCATTTTCTCTAAAACCTCGTCGTTGCTCATATGTTCGGCCCATGGTATCCTCAGCATCCTTCTGTAGAAATTTCAACTGCACCCTTCTGTAGAATTATATTTCTATTGCTTCACGTCTTCTCTTCATCTTTGAGGAGATCGTCCAGCCCTCACCGCCATACAGGAGGGCAATTATCACATGGCAGTTTATCTCTCTTTTCCTTGTTTCTAGCGAAATTTTCCTATTTCTTATTACTCTGGTTAGCTTTTAGAATGCTTCCTTGGCTAGCCCAATACGCCTTCGAATTTCAGTGTCATACTTTCTGTCCTCTTTTAAAGCAGTTTCTAGATATTTAAATTTCTGTACTTGTTTGATATGGGCACCTCCGATTTGCAGTTCGCTTTTTGGTCGCATCCTTTTGCCAACAACCATGCATTCTTTCATGTAGTTGATGTTTAATCCTTTCATCTCGCTTTACTTCACCACCTTCTGTAAGAGCTTTGTAGTTAGATAAAGACACCATTATTACTAATGCCTTTCCATTACGTGGGAGGTATTTCTAGCGGGTATATGTGGGAGCTATTTCTCGGAGGTATATATGGGAGCTATTTCTGTCGCACGCTGTATAAATTGCCAAGTGTATTTCAAGTGTTATTATTATTATTATTATTATTATTATTTCCATTGATTTCTATTGTATACCGATTTCTTTCCTGTTTCCAACTAGAGAGCTGAGATCAAAAATAGCCTGATTACATTTTCCATTGAATATTTGTTTCTTAACTGCTGTTGTTCCTAGATCCACCATAACCTGGGGTGGTAGCACTTGTTAGGGTCCCATCTATGGGCAAATAGTGAACCCCAGACAAAAACAAAACACTGTGAAACTATAAAAAGATTTTTATAGTAAAAATACCAGCAATACATTTTCATATAAAATAATTGCCAACAATACCTATTTATAGTAAAATTACCGACAATATTTTTATAGTAAATATAGTGAAAGTATCAACAATACATTTTATAGCAAAATAACCAAAAATACATTTTATAGTAGAATTACCAACAATACATTTTATAGCAAAATAACCAAAAATACATTTTATATCAAAATAACCAAAAATACATTTTATAGTAGATATAGTAGAATTACCAACAATACATTTTATAGTAAAATGACAACAATACATTTTATAGTAGATATAGTAGAATTACCAACAGTACATTTTATAGTAGATATAGTAGAATTACCAACAATACATTTTATATCAAAATGACCAACAATACATTTTATAGTAGATATAGTAGAATTACCAACAATACATTTTATATCAAAATGACCAACAATACATTTTATAGTAGATATAGTAGAATTACCAATAATAAATTTTATAGCAAAATGACCAACAATACATTTTATAGTAGATATAGTAGAATTACCAACAATACATTTTATAGCAAAATGACCAACAATACATTTTATAGTAGATATAGTAGAATTACCAATAATAAATTTTATAGCAAAATGACCAACAATACATTTTATAGTAGATATAGTAGAATTACCAACAATACATTTTATATCAAAATGACCAACAATACATTTTATAGTAGATATAGTAGAATTACCAATAATAAATTTTATAGCAAAATGACCAACAATACATTTTAGAGTAAATAGATATCGTAGAATTACCAACAATAGATTTTATCTGCAGCTAAAGGCATACAATTAAGTTCAAAATATATTTAGTTGAATAAAATTGTTCAAAATATTTAGAGTTCGGCATTAAATAACCCCTAGAGTTGTTGATATGCCGCTAAACAAAATCAACACACCAACTGAGGATTTATGTAAAAAAATAAGAAATAAAACAACGTAAGAGCACACGTTTTGCAAATAAAGCCCTTCGTAATGTGTGAGCTGCACTTTTGAGTACAGTTTGGTTGTATTTATGTAGGGTATGTGCTAGAAGGGGTTTCTTTCAATGAGTCTATTAGAACTTTTTTTCCATTCAAATCCAGGGTCCCAACCACAACTGAAATTCTTGATGCCTTCATATGCCACATTTTTTTTTAGATTTCCACTTCAAGATCCTTCAAAGATACAATCTGCAGGGACTGTCATGCCAATAAGGAAGCACATTCTGTACTTGTGATCTTTGATCTTTGATGTCTGGACGTTTACCTTTGATTGTTCTGGCTGTAAAGTCCCATAAAATTGTTACAGGTCCTAATCTCTGTAACCGGGTCTAGGTGATGTTCATAGCAGTTTCTTGCAGTTACCTTCCCGTAAAAGTTGCATATTTTTGCATATTATTATTATTATTATTGTCATTATTATTATTATTATTATCATTATTATCATTATCATTATTATTATCATTATTATTATTATTATTATTATTATTATTATTATTATCTTTGATTTCTGGCGTTTACACATTTCTTTCCGGATCCCGCCCAGGGACCTAAGGTTAGAAATGGCATCATGACACTTTCCACTGACAAAAAAAAAAAAAAAAAAAAAAATTACATAGACAGAACCCTTCGTCAAGTGTGGGCTGTACTTGTCAGAACAATTTTTTGTATCTCCTTGAGGCATGGACTTCCAGGAATCCCTTCAATTAGTCTACTGCAATCTTTTCTAACCAGTCCTAGGGCTCCAACTACAACAGGGATTGTTGACGTTCCCATATGCCACATTTTCGAGATTTCTATTTCAAGGTCCTTGTATTTTGACAGCTTTTTGAATATCTTCAAAGATACATTGCAGTCATCAGGGACTACCATATCAATAAGGAAGCACTGTTTTTGTTTGTGGTCTTCAATAACAATGTCTGGGCGGTTGGCTTTGATTGTTCTGTCAGTGTGTATTGTGTAGTCCCATAGAATTGTAACAGGTCCTATCTCCGTAACCGGGTCTGGGTGGTGTTCATACCAGTTTCTTTCAGTTTCCTTCCCGTAGAAGTTGCAGATTTTCCAGTGCAGATATTCAGTGGGTGCCAACATCGTGCAACCTGATACAAGATAATCAATCGTTTCTGTATATTTATCACTTATTATTATTATTATTATTATTATTATATTTTTGTTGGTTTCTGTTTAATAGAATAATAGACCAAACATACATTACAATTCGTAGGGATTGCCATGATAATAAGAAAGCGCATTCTGTTTGTGTGGTCTTTGATCATTATGTCTGGGCGATTAGATTATTCCCCGTAGACTCCGTATAAAACAGGGTCGGGTAGCTGTTTCCCAAGACGAGACTCTACCCTTCGACCTAGCCTCGTCTGGGGATCCTTTCTGCCCAGAGGTAGAGAGTTTGACCAGCACAGCTGGAGACGAATCTGCAGGATATCTTCATTCAGATATCCAATATGGCTTTCGGCTCTCTAGGTCAACTGCACATGTATTAAATATTAGTGCTCAAAATTCTATCAAGCTTGAGATAATAATGAAGCTAGGACTGTTCCTTTGGATATCTCAAAGTCATTCTTCATAATTTGAATATATATGGTCGAATTATAGAAATGATTCAATCTTTCTTATCGAATTCCGAAATGAAAGCTGTCTCGAATGGCCACTCTTCTAGATCGTTGTTCTTAATTCTCAACAAGTCCTACCTGATGGCATCAGTTCTCAACTCCTGGACGACAGCTCTGAATTCGAAATCGAGGAAAAAGCAACAGGATACCAACTTAAGAATGCATTATAATTCACAGATAATAAAGAAAAGGAATCTGTGGAGAGCCATTATTGCCTACGTTCTGAAAGCAGATGCCATAGAAAATAATAGAGAAAGCATCGGGAAAACGTCCCACTGACATTACAAGGAATGCATAAAAATTCACAGATAGTAAAAAAGTAATCTTTAGAAAGCCTTGATCTCTTACATCCTGAAAGGAGATGCCACTGAAAACCATAGAGAAGGCAACGGGAAACCAGCCCTGTCTTTCCTAAGCGAAGATTCTGGCTCGTCTAATATTGAAGAAAACACAACTGGTCCTGAACAGACGGACATGTTTGAAAACGGACAGCTCTCCTGCAGATGAGATATCACTCAGTGTGCCTTCAAGTCGAAACATTTTTGGTGATGGTGGTGGTGTTTGTAGTGGTGGCGGCTGTAGTCGTAGTTATGATGATGATAATGATAACTGAATTACCCATAAGACTATGCAAGTGATCATTTGACAAATTGATTCGTTGCAATGTTGTCTTCATTATTATTATTATTATTATTATTATTATTATTATTATTCGTTATTTGCTTTTTATGGAGAATTGTAGAGAAAGTAAGTTCGTTTAGCGGAGAATTGAGATCACGTTTGGGGAAAAATGTCATGCAGTGCCTTGGTGTTGTCACTAATGGGTTGGTCGCGGGCCTGTTTACAAAATGGTGGGAAGATGGGAAAAGAAACGAAAGTATGGGCAAAAAGAGAAGCGCAAAAGGCAAAAATCCAATGACTGAAGATCGATATTGGAAACTGCTTGCAGAGGACAAATTAATGGGGCACGAACTAGCGACCACTCCTTGCTCAATAGACAAATAAATAAAACGAGAGAGAGAGAGAGAGAGAGAGAGAGAAACGAAGGTACCTGAGATTTTATATAAATACAAATGTACTGCGCGGTATGAGCAAGAATTAGGAAGATTTCTTTGCGCCAGTCTAGAAATGAGATAGGCTCGCTTGCCTTTAATTGCTACATTCAAAAAACTAACTTTTTTCCAGATTTTTTTCTACCGTGGTATCTGCTCACAAATCATTATGGTGATTTCTTTTCCTTTTAGGGAGGTAGAGACGGGGTGAATGGATCATTGGCGTCAAGCAACCATTGAAGTTGACAGTCATCAAGATATTAGTGGTAAATCATGCCGAACACGTACAAAGAATAAATACCTGCATCTGCATTATGCTAGTTAAATGCAGATGCGTAGTTACTGTATAAACCATAGGTTGGTTCTCTAGGTGATCATGAAACGGGAAAGTGTCTGAGTGGATGCCTACAACAAGAATTAGCTAGCAGCTCTATCAAAAGGGTGTAATTAAAAATCAAGCTTTCAGTCAATATACATATATATATATATATATATATATATATATATATATATATATATATATATGATAAAATATAGTTTTAAGTTATGCTATATTTATAGGTTAAAGTGCTCAATAGCAGGGATAGAGGGTATGTAAATATAAAAGTGAATATTGATATCAGCGCCCAGAGGCGACACTCTGTTTCATGCTAAACGCAATCGTCAGGCCATGTGCGTTGTGTTTTTGCACAACTTTTTATATATACAAGTCAGAGATGCATTGTGGTTTTACTTTCCCAGACCAAGGCAAAAACAAACTACTAAATAAACGATCAGAACTCATCTCAGAATGCAAACACGAAGACTGTGCTACTTAAAAATCGAAAACTGAAAACGAACAAAAATAAATGAAAATAAAATAAAATAAATAAACAAAAGTAAATAAAAAAATAATCAGAACAAAGAAATAAGTAAATAAATAAACAAATTAAGAAACCACACCTACCAAAATAACCGTTAGAATAATACAATAGATTAACCACAATGCATCACTGACCTTTATATATAAAAAGTCGAGCAAAAACAGACTGTACATGACCTGACGATTGCATTTAGCATGAAACAGACTGTCTCCTGTGGTTGTTAAATTTAACGTCCACTGATATATATATATATATATATATATATATATATATATATATATATAAGGGAATTCAGAGCAGCATGAATCTATCCAGCTCTTATCTCAAATAATAACCTAAAAGAGACTGTTTGACCAACACAAAGACTGACCAAAATTCATGTTAAAAAAATTAAAAAACAAATGCAAACTACAGACAAAAGTTCATTTTCTCCATCAACATATTCATTTCTGTAGTTCACTGCTACCAGCAAGCAGGATTTTTTTCTCCTGGTGATGGCCATGTTGGCCGAAACTAGTCGAGGAATCTAAATGAAATAATAATAAAAACGAAAGAATATTAATATACAACCCAGTGTGTCTGAAGATTTTAATTTTTAATATTTTTATTGTTCAATATATATATATATATATATATATATATATATATATATATATCTTCAAATACATCCTTTCTTTTTGATGCTTTGGCACACATTATCAGTGATGTTTTAGCCGAGGTTCATTAGGGATTTTGGGTCTTTCAACATCATACGCCCTTTCCACGTTGACCAACCGATACTGATCAGGTATCGACTTGTGTGCCATCCATCAGTTACAATTATTTAATCACACACTGCGACTCTTCTTGGTAATTTATAATCCAATAACTTCCGGTCCAACAACAATTTGCGATATGAGTTGGGATCAAAGATAGACCAAATATGGATTGGAATTCGACAGAATAATACGATAAAGAACAAATATGAAACGTTTATCCATCTAACATGTTTCAGTTTTATTAAAGTTTCATCAGAGAATGAGATATGTAGAAAAGGAAGAAAGAAACTCTTGTATTTTTATTTTTGGGTTGTTTCAGTTTCATTGGTTAATCAGGTTTCACATGCATTCGACATGTTAGTATAATTTGTGGCGTTCCGAATTCAAAGAGAGACGAAGTTTCAAGAATTCACCGTATTCAAAGCCTAATAGAAAAAAACGTATTATTGCTTTATGCAAGGAAGTGTATAATAATCTGGGATTCAGATGATAATCTATATTCGTAAGTGTGTGTGTTTCTTTCTTTCTTTCTTTTGTAACCTAGGGAAGGTTACTGAATAGAATAATCAAACGAAGGTTGGTAATGAACGATAATACTTAGGACAAGAACAACACATATAAGATTCGCCAGCGGCGCGTAGAAGTAATAGTCAACTGCTAGAAGGGAGAAGTGAATTCCACAATGAATCTCCAACTGCAGGATATCTACCAACCGTCTACGCGGTCAGATGTGACACAAGGCCGAATTTAATGTGGGGTATCCGAGCCCGTAGGCTCGGCCAAAAATTCCCCGTAGACCCCGTATAAAACAGGGTCGGATAGCTGTTTGCCGAGACGAGACTCTGCCCTTCGACATAGCCTCGTCTGGGGATCCTCACTACCCGGAGGCAGAGAGTTTGACCAGCACAACTGGAGACGAATCTCCAACTGCAGACCAACATACAGTATTTACTACTGTATTTATGTGAATGGGGACAGACATACCCATTATCGTCTGTAGGTATGATACAACACTTTCTATCTATCTATCTATCTATCTATCTATCTCAGTCCGTATTTCTTCAGTTCTATTATATCTTTCTATGTATCTATCTTATTTTCTTCATCTTTCTTTATCTATCTATCTATCTATCTATCTATCTATCTATCTATCTATCCATCTAAATTTGTTTTTCTTTCTATCTCAGTTTCTATCTAATATTTCATGTTCTTCATATCTATCAATCCTTCATTTTCTCTTTCTTTCTTACTATCTCAGTTTATTTTATCTATCTATCTATCTATCTATCTATCTATCTATCTATCTATCAGTTTGTCAATCTATTTTTCTCAGTCTGCCCATATATATCCATTTACTAGGTTGAGACAAAAGTTTTTTCGTATTTCAAACTTTAATTAATAGTTAAAACAAATTGCGATTGTCCAATGCCGGGTAGCGAGCTTTCAAAGCGTCATATACCCGCTGCAGTTGTTGAGCATAAAGGTCAGCATTCACGGCATGTGCATCTGAGGCAAGCTCAAAGTTCAACGCCCCTTCGAAATTCCACCAAGCTCATAACATGACCTTCTGTTAAAACGGCCGTTTTTTTACTACAGATTCTGAAGCCTGGCCAGAACGACGCCACTTGTTTCTCATATTACAAAAATTGATCCTATTTTTTTCATCCCCCGCCACATCACGATGCCCCAAATGTGCATCGTCAGGATTTGGCAACAGTGACAGGACCCAAAGAGTGTGAGTTCAATACCCGGTTAAGGCAGTGGAGAACTTAATTAACAGGAGATAACTGACAACTGACATCCATTAAACATGACACGTGGAAGTAGAACAGTCTACCCCAGTGAGCGAAATAAAGGGTTCAGTTCGACATTCCAACAACCTGAAGAAGGCCGGAGCGTACAACGACCGAAACTTTGTAAGAAATATGGCGACAAAGATGAGGACAATAGTCCGAATAATGTAAATAGTATTGGCAACAGTTGTTTGCAAATGTTCGCGCGTTGTTGAGCCTGGACATTGGTCAGTTCTTGGTGAACTTCTCGACAGCGTCTGTTCACAAGGCCGAGCATATGGAGGTGTCAAATGGTGCTTATTTGTGAAGAACCAAGTCCTGTACGAGTGTTTGTGCTTGTCTGTTGTTCAACCATTTCGAGCAAGGCCTCATCTTCAACAACAGGTCTCCCTGACCTAGGTTTGTCTTCGAGACTGTTGTCACTTTCTTTGAATCATCTGGAACCATTTTTGTGCAACATATTCCTTGACATTTCCCGCGCCTTCCACACCATTAATTCATTTTGTCGTTGCCCTTGCATTCAGTCATTTTCCATATGTTGCATGAAATGGCGCTAATTACTTAACTTATTTCACCACTCATTACCAAATCTGTAAAATAAAGAACAAACAATTAATGTTTATATGTTATATACGAAGATAAAAAAATAATTATTATAATTCAGCAACGATTGGACAACAAATTGTATCAAAATAATATATATAAAAATTGTATATAAAATTGTATCAAAATAATATATATAAAAATTGTATATAAAATTGTATCAAAATAATAATAATATAACATGGAAGTACGAGTTGCGAAACATCAGTAGTGAAAATCCGGGAAAAAATTGACGCAACCTGGTATCTATCTATCTAGCTGTCTATCTCAATATGTTCATATCTATTTCTCTGTTTGTCTCAGTGTGTTTATTATCTATCTATCTATCTATCTATCTATATATATATATATATATATATATATATATATATATATATATATATATATATATATATATATATATATATATATATATATATATATATATATATATATATATACAGTCTGTCTGTTCATATCTATCTATCTATCTATCTATCTATCTATCTATCTATCTTAGTCTGTTCATATCTATCTGAGTCTGTTCATATCTATCTATTACAGTCTGTTCATATCCATTTATCACAGTCTGTTTATATCTATCTATCTATCTATCTATCTATCTATCTATCTATCTATCTATCACAGTCTGTTCATATCCATCTATCTGTCTATCACAGTGTTCATATCTATTTATCTATCTGTCTTATCTCAAACCGTTCATATCTATCTATCTATATATCTATCTATATATATATATATATATATATATATATATATATATATATATATATATATAACAGTCTGTTCATATCTATCTATCTATCTATCTATCTATCTATCTATCTATCTATCTATCTATCTTAGTCTGTTCATATGTATCTGAGTCTGTTCATATCTATCTATCACAGTCTGTTTATATCTATCTATCTATCTATCTATCTATCTATCTATCTATCTATCTATCTATCACAGTCTGTTCATATCCATCTACCTGTCTATCACAGTATTCATATCTATCTATCTGTCTTATCTCAAACCGTTCATATCTATCTATCTATCTATCTATCTCTCTATATATATATATATAACAGTCTGTTCATATCTATCTATCTATCTATCTATCTATCTATCTATCTATCTATCTATCTATCTATCTATCTTAGTCTGTTCATATCTATCTGAGTCTGTTCATACCTATCTATCTATCTATTACAGTCTGTTCATATCCATCTATCTATCACAGTCTGTTTATATCTATCTATCTATCTATCTATCTATCTATCTATCTATCTATCACAGTCTGTTCATATCCATCTATCTATCACAGTCTGTTCATATCTATCTATCTATCTCAAACCGTTCATATCTATCTATCTATCTATCTATCTATCTATCTATCTATCATAGTCTGTACATATCCATCTATCACAGTCTGTTCATATCTATCTATCTATCTATCTATTACAGTCTGTTCATATCCATCTATCTATCACAGTCTGTTTATATCTATCTATCTATCTATCTATCTATCTATCACAGTCTGTTCATATCCATCTATCTGTCTATCGCAGAATTCATATCTACCTATCTATCTGTCTTATCTCAAACAGTTCATATCTATCTATCTATCTATCTATCTATCTATCTATCTATCACAGTCTGTTCATATCCATCTATCTATCACAGTCTGTTCATATCTATCTATCTATCTCAAACCGTTCATATCTATCTATCTATCTATCTATCTATCTATCTATCTATCTATCTATCTATCTATCATAGTCTGTACATATCCATCTATCACAGTCTGTTCATATCTATCTATCTATCTATCTATCTATCTCAGGCTATTCATATTTATCTATGTTTCTCTCATCATATCTATCTATAAAGAAATTATTAAACGAATCTGAGGAAAGGAAGAAAGTATGAAACTGAGATTTAGTCGATCAATCGATATCTGTCGATTGATCGATCAATCTCAGTTTCCTTATATTTCATTGTTTTCATATCTTTCAATTTTTTGTTCGTTCTTTGTTATTATCTCTATCTATCTACATAATACAAATTTGAACTTAGTCTGGCATAGGGAAACAATGTCTGGGACATCCATTTGAATCGAACTCATTCCACTAGCAATGAATAGTTGACTAATTTGTCATTATAGTTCTACAACACATGCTTATATATTTGTATGTGTACGGGCTTGAGAGAAAGTGTGTGCATGTGTGTGTGTGGGAGGGGGTTAAAGCCATGCGTGGTATAACGTACTGGAACAATAAATTAATATGATCGAGGAAATGATATGAAAACGAGCAATATCTTGTTTTGTATTCTATATCAGGTTTTTCTCTTTCGCCATTAAATATCTCGATTGATTCGTTGTTTGACCTTCGGGAGGAAACATTTACACAGCTATCATCAAACAAGCTGAGCATGTGAATTCGTGCAGGAAGTCATAAATCAAAAGAAGAAAAGGGAAAAAATGAAAAAGTCGACGTTAAAGAAAGAAAGAAAAAGAAAAAAGAAAGAAAACAACCAATGTTGAAGAAAAAGGTACAGAAATAAAAGAAAGAAAGAAAGAAAGAAAGAGAAAGAAAAAAGAAAGAAAACAACCAATATTGAAGAAAAAGGTACAGAAATAAAAGAAAGAAAAAGACTAAATTATGAAATAAAATATCGAAAAGAAAGAAAAATCGAAATTACAAATCAATATGGAAAAAATAAAGAAAGAAATATAATGACGCAAATATAAAACTGAAACGAAGGAAAGAACAAAATAGGAAATATTGTGAAAAGAAACAAAATGGAAGAGAAGGAAGTTGAATGAAAAAAAATTGTATTTTAGTAAAAAGAAAAGCTTCCGAATTTAATCGCTAAAATATTTCTAATATTAACAAAATGCTTTTTTAATATTAACATAAAAGAAACAATGGCGAGAAAGGCAAATAGTAAACGTAACTATTTTCAATTGTTTCAAAAGACATAAAAATGACAGGAGCTCGATATTTCACTAAATGCCGAGGTTCGGCAAACGCCATGGCAATTTTCACTCGCGACAACGAATTTGAATAGTCTTTAAAAGGATAAACTACAATTACATTTTATTCAATTATATATTCACCATTAGTTGCCATTTATTAAACAGTTCTTCGACAGCCCTCGAGTAAAATTTTAATGCGAAAAAGTTTTCGATGAAATCTTGAAACTGGTTTTTGGCCAATGGTATGATAGGTTGATGTAAGGCCAGGCGAATATTGTGGGGGGGGGGTGATAAAACCAATAAATAAAATAATAATAAAGAATAGAAATAAATTAATTTTCCCATGATGCAAGTTATAAAGAAACGGGAAAGGATTTCTGGTCAGATGTGCGATTTCATTGCCCCACTTCTTGAAAGGACAATATATATATATATATATATATATATATATATATATATATATATATATATATATATATATCGTTTCCAGCAACCCTACTCATGAAATAGAGATTTGGTTATCCCAACTCAGCGCGAGGCTGACTAGAGCTCGACTATCTTTACTCGTTTATATTCTTACTTCTCATAAATAATTTCTAAACCAAAAAAGGATAATGGACATACTCAAGAAACGTTTAATTTTGTTTCAATCCAGTCAACATAAAAGAAATAAACGTTCGTAGCAAAAACTCAATTTTTTTTTGTATGCTTCTATATTTTTTGTTTATAAATGATGTTCCATTAACTTGGACCAATTTTAAATGTGAATTAAGTTTAAGCGTCTAATGATTTTTTTTTTCTTTTTCTTTCAGATTTAACAACTTAAGTCAACCATGGAAAGATTAACAATCAAACAATGTTTTAAAGTTTCAAGAGTGCAATTGGAAAAATCCAATGTCACAACGTTTCGGCCATTGTACGCTCCGGCCTTCTTCAGGTGAAATCTGTAATAATTACTATTATAGACTATAATATTAGCACTTAAGTGAATGTAATAAACTCGACTTAGTAAGTATCAATTTGGGGCCCTACTGTATTGCAATTGATATCATGTTCGTATCGCAGATTAATTCGTTAAAGTAGATGACCAACATTGACTTTCGACATCGAGGCGGAAGAAGATTAATTTTGGGTCTGGGAACGCTAAAAAAAAGATTCCCATAAAATTAATGATAAAACTTATGAATTGTCGCTTTCTAGGTTCGAGCGCAGATAACTGAAATTGTTGAATGCGATACCGTGGATACGGGTGGATGATTATAATGAGTTTGTTTTTATTGATCAGACCAGCACGAAACGTCGTGCGAAACCTCGCGTCTACCATTTCGCTATTCTAACCACTGGTCTGCATATTTTCATAAAATGTAAAGACCAATGCCCTTTCGAAAGATCGCGTCTGAACGGATCAATAAAAAGCGAGTAATGTAGCAACACTACTATTAATTTGAGTGCTTTATCGTGGTGCAAGATCCAACCAACATGACTTGTAATATTTAGTTCAAGCCTCACTGGGGATTCCATATTTGTGACCTTATACCTAAACTAAGTCATATGGCACTACCTAAGTAGACATGTCCACTTATAAAAAATAGGAAAAAAATTTTCGCGGAATAATTTTTGAAGATGAGAATTCGCTATTCACATTAGCATTGAAGCCACGACATTTGTCAGAATAGGAAAATATTGATAATTTTTATCGATTTACAAAGGTGTGATATTCACAATATCGATACAGTGCAAAATCGATACCTGAGTTATTGAACCTATCAGTTATTTACAAATATCAAGTTTAGGATAGCGAATGTGCCACCCAAAAGCTAAGCAAAGTATTAAGAAACAGGAAAATATCATTAAAAACAAAGAAAACAGTACTTAACTTTCATATCGGTCCTCCTACATGGCAGTGAATGCGCGACAATCTCATTCCAGACAAAGAAGTCCACCTTGACGGCTGGGGCTGTATAATACGCCAAGTGTAACTTTGCATAGAGGTAAGACGCCCTCCCACCATATATATATATAAAACATACATTTACACTGAAAGTATAAAATTATGTATAAAATATCTATAGTTGAAGGCATGAATTTTGCGTTCAAAATATATGTAACTGAAGCCATAAAATTGCATAGAAAATATTTACAGTTCGGCATTAAATAACCCAAAGAGATGTTGATATGCCGATAAACTAAAACAACCAAACTAAACAGATGAAGAAGAGACTTGAAATAGCTGAAATGTAACTCTACAGAAGGATGATGAGAATACCATGAACCGAATATGTGAGTAATGACGAAGTGTTAGAAAAATGCAAACAAAACGACTTAACAAAATAACTTAACATCAAAAAGAGACAGTTGACATTTCTATGGCACGTAATGAGGAAAGAAGGTTTTAAAAATTGACACTCACAAGATATGAGTCAAATATCAAGTGTAGATCAAATATGGATTAATGCACGTGATACATGATTGACCAATGAGAATTGGTCCAAACAAAATTGAAAATACTAAAGTTCTTTTTTATCTGTCTTTTTTTCTGTCTTTTTGTTTTCTCTTAATCTCTGACTTTCATGGTTTTAATGACCCATGAGAGGTTGATGGGCCGTAAAATAAAACAACCAACAATCTCTGACGAAGCTTTAATAAAAGTGAAACACGGTTAGAATGATAAACGTTTCCTATTTGTTCTTTATTTTATCAAAGGATATATCAAAGGCAAGAGAGACAGAGGAAAACGTACCTAACAAGCTTGTGTAAATGGTTGGGAGTATAAGGATTAGTTGTTTAAAAGAGAACTTGGTCAATAAAAAAAAAACAGTAAGAGAGAAAGACGAAAGAAATATAGTAAAGCGAGAATCACTGACGTGTAAGCTTCAGATTACGAGTAACTTCATGTAGAAGTCGGATTATTACAGCAATCCATAGTCGGTCTGGGGATTAGCCAATACTTTAGTTGTCAGTAATAACATGGGATGAACTTAGAATTATAAAATGTTACAAAATTAGAGATTAGCAATGGTTTTCCTGGTTTACATTGTATTTGTGATACACTAGTTGCATTTTTCATTAACGATTTAGAATTTATTTATGATTCACTAAATCATATTTATGATTCGCTATTTATATTGCATTATGATTATTACGATTATATGTTATTATGATTTATCATACTATTCATTAGATCATATTTGTGATATACTATTCGAATTTATGATTCGCTATTTACATTGTATTATGATTATTATGATAACATGTTATTATGATTTATCATACTATTCATTAGATCATATTTGTGATTCACTATTCGGATTTATGATTCACTATTTAGATTGTATTTATGATTCATCATTTATATCGTATTTTTGATTAACTATTTACAATGTATTTTAAGTCAATATATACATTGCATTTTGAATTAAAAAATAATATTTAATATTACACTATTTAAACAATAATGATTTCGATAACAATTTAAAAATGATATTCTTTATTCATATTTCAAATAGCATTTTTCTAATAACACATTATTTCAAATGATATTTTTAAAATTATAATTTAAAATAATAATATGGTTGATGCTGAAAAGTTCAAAAACAAACCAAGAAGTGAGTAAAAAAGTATGGTCGTTGGTCATTTTTTAAAAGTGAACTGACAAGTTTTTCAGCGGTGGCCCCCTCCTAATGTCTCTTCTTATATATATATATATATATATATATATATATATATATATAGATAGATAGATAGATAGATAGATATACACACATACATATATATATATATATATATATATATATAGAGAGAGAGAGAGAGAGAGAGAGAGAGAAATAGAGTGTGATGGGTAAATTGTCGCCTTTTATATTTTAATTTCACACATGCGTTTTGTTTTGTTTTTATTTTGTTGTCTGCAG